CTCAATATCGATACCCTCATCCTGAATTTAATAAGAAACCCATCTCAATTCAAGTGTCTGGGGTAAAGGGATCAAAGTTCATCAAAATTTTATAAATAAGACTACAAGGGAGAACAACATAAGTAAACACATGCATAACTAGAAATGGTGTAAATTAGGATGACATAAAACTAGCCTTTGTATGACACTCAGGAAACAACCATGACACCCAAGTTACTTTCACAATATGACGATTGTCCTTCATGATAAAATATTCAGATATAGCTATGCTAATGCACTAGGCACTTTAGTTGCCAATTGGGCAAAGATTCCCCAAGACTCGACGGTGTAAGTTGGTCGGGTGTATGTTCCAATGCAAAAAATCCTAGATCGCATCATGATACTCAAGAGCCTACAAGTAGGCTAGGGATGTACGTTTTCGATGTAAACTTTTCTTAATATCACTTCGATAACCTCAAGTACCCTAGGTAGGCTAGGGTGCTGTCCTGAGATGCAAAAAATTCCTCTAACAATATCACTAGACCTGCCTCTGCATGTTATTGATTTCATTTGTATGCCAATGACTTCACTTATTAGCATGTTCATGTAATGAATGCATGTAATATAACATAGTTATTAGTGTAGCACTGAGCTTGTGAACTTAGCGTTCGAAATTTGTTTCTATTCGAACGTTAGTATAGAGATCGAGAGGAGCCTATCGTGTAGTCACATTTCATATCAGTTGCTATTAAGAGTATGACTTGAGTCTATTAGCGGGCATGTACTGTCATTTTTATTATTTCAAGTCATAATTCTATTTAAACTTTATGTACTTTTGAGACTTATCATTGAGAGCTCCCTTTATTTTGTAAATTGAAATATTATGTTTTATTTTATGATTTCTTTGGATGGATTTTGTTTGACAATTGCAAATGTTTCAAAAAAAAAAAAACACTGGATTAGCCATTTATATGGTATGTGTGATACTTTAGTCCTTTGATTTTTGAATTGGATTAGATTAAAGTGTTACATTTCATGCGATTAAACCACAAATGAATTTGAAACTCAATTTCCATGAAACTCTAAACCATCGTGTATTTTCTTTTTTCTATTTATTTAATCCTATTGTTTATCTTATGTGTTTAAATTTAATTTCTTATTTCAATATATATATATATATATATATATATATATATATAAGCTTTTACAAAACACTAATTGAAACATGGATAAACCAAAATCCCTCTCGGTCGTAGAATTCAAAATCCCTAATCTTACCAGTTTTTTCACCGATACTTCTTTGGGAGTCGGTTCCATAATTTGTGTTCGAACAGTTTATTTGCTAGGAAATTTTCATTGTTTTATCGTGTTCTTTGACCCCTGCACCATGTTCTCCCTTCGCGATCAATTTGATCTTGTTTTTTTTAATGAGAAACGACAATTGTGTAGAACTTTGATTCGAGTATACTTTTGTTTGACATTATTTTAATGATTTTAATCAGGTGTTTGTCATATTGGGTTGCAACTGTTTTAATTATGTTTAATAATTTTTTTGTTAAATTTAAAATTAAATAAATATTAATCGATGTCATGGTGATATATCCGAATTCATGTGTTCCTTTGTCTGTGTTATTATGATTTTTTGTTTTGTACTACTCAACTTATTGATTAGTTATCAATACGTTTTTAAATTATCTGTGAGATATCTGGCCAACATATTTCTGAAATAACGGTGATTGTTTAAACCATATATTTTCGAAAGTATGATTGCTTGAATTGTATATTTTCTAAACTGTGATTGTTCGTATTTATATGTACTCTTGAAACGACTTTATGTATCTCATGTCTTGCATTGTCCTGTAATTTGTATAAGCAGCGTGCCGATCTTCGGCTCTAGGTACAATCCCATATTTGACTCTGCCAAGAAAGGTGACACATGCTCCCCTCGTGCTCCCCCGATCACCCCCGCCCATCTTGTCCTAAAACCCCTGTCCCCACCACAGGTAAATCCCTTGCTGCTACCCATGAACCAAAACACGAAGTTTGATATAATACTCTGGTTTTGATTTTATAGATTTTGACAAAAAGAGGGAGGGGGTGAAGAGAAGAAGTTCGATTCATTGTTGATTGAAGAATAAACGAAAATCGACAATGATGGTTTGCCCAATATATTATTTGAATTTTTCATTCATAAATTTTTAATAAAATTTGCATCTTTTGTAGATCAGTGAGGAAAATTGAAGAAGATAAAGATTATGCATTTTAGTCCTGTTTTCCTCGTTCTTCTTCTGCTATTATATTATATATTTTTTGGTATGTTAAAAAGTTTAAGATATTTCTAGATGAAAGAGTTAAAAAGTAACATAAAATTGAGTTTTAATAAAATTAAATCTATTTAATATATTTATAGAAAAAATAAATAAATAAACATGTCATGCCACATTTTTATGATATGAATAAAAGTTAACGGATGAATGATCATTTTCCTGAATGTATTAATAATAATCATTTTGTCCTTTTTAGACTTACTAGTAAAAATAAAATTTACCTAAACTTTAGTGGGTATTTATGTATTTTATCCATTTTTTTAATTCTGTAGAGACTTTCGCGATTTTACAAATCCTTTTCTTTCTTATACTATGCTTGATGCTTTTATTAAAACAATATTCAGGGCAGATTCTTGTGGTCGATTCTCCTGCCACTAGCTAGTCTCTTATTTCTGGGTCTTCTCCAACAATTACTTATTTTCTGCTGGAAATTTTTTTTCTCTTTTTCTCAGGGTAAGCGGCACTCATTCGATGTATTTCATTTTTTCTCTTTCCTTTTACATCTTGTTTTTTTTTTTTTGAAATCCCATCTCGTTATTGTTAGCTGAATTTTATTTGTTCGTATGGGAATTTTTGGGTTTATATTGTTGGGCGTTTTTTTTCTCTCTTTTGCTGAGTTTTTAATGTGTTGGGTCAGATTTTATCTGGGTTTGTTTAGTTTTGCAGGTAAGCTCCAAAGCTTGGTGACATTGAAAAATTATTCAACTATTTTTTTGTGAAGTTTCGGGTTTTTTTCAAGCAGAGGCGTGGGATTGAAAAGCTGGGAGTTTTGGTGATTGAGGTCTGTCTCTATTTTATTGTCATTCAGCAAATTAAGTTCTTTGGCTTTAATGCTGCTCCCAGAAGTTGTATTTTCTGCTAGAAATTAGATTCTTCTGTTTAGTCTTATTTGGAATTTTAGGTTGTCTGCTGTTTTTGTAATGCTTTTATTGAGCTGGATTCTTTGGGTTCAAATAAGATATGCGGATTGTATGAAGCTTTCCATTGTATGCATTGAAGAAATAGATGATGTTGTCATTGTTATCATTACGGTTCTCAACAAAATTGGATGATATAATGAATTTGATAGTGGCATTTATATTTGGTAGACAATGATTTGTTTATGAGTTGCTCGGAATTGATGCTTCGCTGAATTATGGAGATTTTGAGCTCATCATGCTATGGAATTGAATAGGTGAATTTCCATATAATATATCAGTAGAATTATATTTGTCCCAGGTTTGGTTGTTGATGAAATAGCCTGAACATATGTTTGATATAGAAGAAACATTAAAGTATAAAAACGCATGGTCGAATTTCTTACCGTTCAACTGTCAATGTTGATGTGATCAATTAATGCCAAAAGATACTCTGGTTGCATAAAAATAAAACCAGAACTTATTTGAATGCTTTCATTATCATAGAGTTCTTCCTTCAGAAACCATTTTTTTCACCCAACCTCCCCACCCCAAGGAAAAAAAAAAGATTTTTTTTACATAAGACCTAACTTATTGCTTGTATAAAAAACTTTGAAATGATCATAAGCTTTTTGTGTCACTTTGTGGAGTATTCCAATTAGAAGAAACAGGACATATTTTTCTTGGACAAAAACTGGGCTTCAATGAACCAACAAGGTTATATCATGACGGAAATACAACTCACAAGTGGCCCTGTAAAATACATTTACTAAATAAAACTTATCTGTGGGCAAGAAAAAGATGTTTTATCCATACTCTCTGAATGACTCATCTCTGTATTTCTCAGACAATTTAGGATACTTTGGTGATACATGATGCTTAATCTGAATGTCTTTTGCATATTACAGTATTACAAGCCCTTCTGATTCAATTCGTCTGCTGTACTTCCCCTACTTGTTTTGTCGTTGAGACTGTGTTATCTTTTTGTCATTTCTGCTGCTCTGATTGAACTATGCCTTGTTTTTATTTAAACCTTTTTTCAGCATTCTGGTTTGCAACTTTATCCTGTAGTCTCTGCATTCAACATGCTAGATTCTTTTACAAGGTTGTGGCATTGCACTGCTGCATTTGTGGTCTTGCTATACATTGTACGACATGGTTGAATGTTCTGTTGCCGTTTAGTTTAAATTATAGTATGCATTTTCAGGCTAGCTTTACGGCTAGTACCATCTATTATTCTTCATGGAAAATGACACCAAAGTTAACTGTTGCTTAAAGAATATTGGGTTTTAGAAATCGATGTGAAAAGGCTTGTTTAGGAATCCATCAATTAGAATTGTGGTTTTCATGTTACAAGACTTTGGCACGACTTTTTGTATCTGAATCTTTGGGGATTAAACATAAATTTGTTAGATGTTCTCAGCTCCATTCCATAATTAGCAAACATTTTAGTTGCCACTTTAGGTGATTTGCATATTGAATAGTGAACCCTGTTGGAGGTCAATGTCATTCAAGTCTTTGAGAAAGCAACTCAAAACCAGCTGAAGAGTTTGATGCATCATCTTTATTTTTTTTTCTCTTTTTAAATTCAATTCAGACAATAATGTTTTAGTATCATTCATTGTAGTTTGAATGAGGCCTTATTGAATTCTTTTGTCACGGTTTTTTCTTTTTCATTTTTTTCCCTTTCTTTGTAAAGTCAGATTGGATGTCAACTTTACGTGTTGCTTTGTTAGACTTTGAAATGCTTCCATAGAAATAATTGCTTTATTTCATGCTCTCATGTAGTAATACTGTTTTGTTTATAATTCAGCTCTGCTAGCCTCTCATATCACTCTTCAGCATGAACAACCAATATGGTGATGATCAAGTAAGTCAGAATCTTGGTGATTTTTTGTAGTCTTAAAAATTTGGGATTTCAAACATGTAATGTTTTGTTCAGGATGAAGCAAAAGTCATTGGGTTTGAAGTTACAAGATCACCTGATTCAAGTTACAATAATGCATACCCTGGGAGTGAAGATGACGCACGTGGCCCGCCAGTTGTCCCTCCACACCTACATCATTCGTTGCTTAGCTACCCCTCAAGTCTGAATGCTTCTGGGAGTATTCCTTTGCCAGAAAATGCGATTCTAAATCATCTTTACATTGAGAGCCGAGAGGCACCTAGATCTGTAGTGGCACTTGGGTTTACTCATCGTTTTCGTTCAAAGTATGTTACTGTCGTGCTATACAAACCAGTTCCGAGAAGGGGGGGTACCAGTTCTTAAGATATAAACATCAAATAGGCCTTCATGTTGGGTTTGTTGGTTAGCCGTAGTGTGGGATTAGTTGCAATAGAATCGAATAGGGAATTAGGGGAAAGAACATTTATTGGTTTCACTTGATGCCTTAGGGGGTTGTCCTTTGAAACCTGAAACTTAACAATTGACATGAAATACCAGTTATGTCGTGATACATGTAAAGCTTTATTGTTGCTCTTTTAACCAGTATTTGGGGTATTGTGAGCTTGTCTGCTGCCTCAGATGGTGGTATGAACTTGGAAGCACTTGTACGTGTGTGCATTGAATTAATGGTATGTTATGATACATGCAAAGCTTTATTGTTGCTCTTTTAACCAGTATTTGGGGTATTGTGAGCTTGTCTGCTGCCTCAGATGGTGGTATGAACTTAGATGCACTTGTACTTGTGGGCATTGAATTAATGGTATGTTATGATACATGTAAAGCTTTATTGTTGCTCTTTTAACCAGTATTTGGGGTATTGTGAGCTTGTCTGCTGCCTCAGATGGTGGTATGAACTTGGAAGCACTTGTACTTGTGGGCATTGAATTAATAGTATGTCGTGATACATGTAAAGCTTTATTGTTGCTCTTTTAACCAGTATTTGGGGTATTGTGAGCTTGTCTGCTGCCTCAGATGGTGGTATGAACTTGGAAGCACTTGTACTTGTGGGCATTGAATTAATGGTATGTTATGATACATGTAAAGCTTTATTGTTGCTCTTTTAACCAGTATTTGAGGTATTGTGAGCTTGTTTGCTGCCTCAGATGGTGGTATGAACTTAGAAGCACTTGTATTTGTGGGCATTGAATTAATTATATGTTATGATACATGTAAAGCTTTATTGTTGCTCTTTTAACCAGTATTTGGGGTGTTGTGAGCTTGTTTGCTGCCTGAGATGGTGGTATGAACTTAGAAGCACTTTTATTTGTGGGCATTGAATTAATGGATTAGTTTGTTTTGACTTTTGATGGATATGCTTTATGTTATATTGTTGAGTTGGATTCCCATGGCTTAGTGTGTTTATACACTCGATGAAATTACATCATCGAATTTAGTATTTTTTTTTAAAAGAGAAGTATAATTTATTCAGAACAATGGTAGCTGCTATTTTCATATAGCAAGTTGTTGCTTTGGTATCTGATCTGATCTTCTGCAATATTACCTAAATGATAGGAAATACAGTAGAAAGTGAAACAAAAGTAAAGCCACATTTGCAGATTAATTCTGGAGAGTTCAAACCTTTTGAAACTGTTGATTGAATCTGGGGTTAAATTTCTGATTTACAAACTGGAGTAGCTTTGTTTTGGGGAACTATCTTACATGCCTTCTACACAACTTTAAATTTACCATGTGAGCAATTGTTTTACTAAAATCAAAGTTGCAATTCAATTTGGTATGCCCTTCAATGCTGCTGACCATCCAATTATTACTACAACTTAATATCCTATTTTGAACCATTCCAATTTAAACCTCGACCATTTGTTTTCATAAAAGAATTAAGGTAAACTACCGCAATAGTAACCAACCTTTTATATATGTACACTTTTACTCACCGAATTCAAAAATGTTAAATTTTGGTCGAATTCAAAAATGTTAAATTTTGGTTCTTACATGAATTATCAAATGGGTAATTTAATAATTATACTTTTTATTAGAAAGACATACTTTTAGGATAATTGTTTGGTATGCATTTAATTAATACATTGTAATTGTATGAAACTATAAATATTATTATTATTAAAGATGGGTAAATTAACCTATAATTATTAATTGGTGTAATACTTTGTGTTTGCTAATTACAACTTGATTGGCAGGTAAACTGACATGTTAGGTAACATGGCTGTTTTTGTTTGTCACAAACTGAATACAAAGAAGCCTGACTTGATGGTACCACTCATTGTTTTCGTGACCTACTCGATCAACACAATTTTTATCCTCGTACTCTAAACATGCTCCAACTTAAGTTCATAACTTAGCTCTTTCAATCTTTTTGAAAATAAAACATAACCTTGCAAAATGTTAAACGAAAAAGATGCAATTATGTCTTTATTTAATTTGTTTGAAATAAGGACGATAAATAATCTAAAAATTAAACATGTTTAACACAGAAACTTCAATCTCTTATACCTGATAAACATATATATATATATATGTGTGTGTGTGTGGAATTGTAATAACTAAGTAATTCAGAAAGAAAATTAAGCCATAAAAAAACTAATTTGCAGAAAAAGTAGCTGGAATGTCCTTTTACCCTAATTTGATTTGACGTCAGGTATAATAATATAAGGGTTTTATTTTTCCCTTTCATTTACTCTATTAAGGAAAACAAATGAATAGGCATTTTTTTTAAATGGATTTGTTACGTGGTCGTTTTTCCGTCAAAATATTTTTTTCTTTTCAATTAATAAATAAAAGAAATTTAACGTAGTAAAAGAGAAGTAAGGGTTAATCTCACAGAGATTAAGGAAACTTTCTGATTTATTCTTGTTTTGTTTAATCTTTGAGCCAAGAAGTGGATGAAGTAAAATTTGAGTAATGATGAAGATTTATAGATGAAGAGAAATAAAATAGAAGAAATAAAATAGAAGAAAAAAAATAAAAAGATTTCAAAGAAGATTAAAAATAAATTTTAAAAAAAAGTTTAAAAGAAAATTCAATATGGTAAAATCAACCTTAGACTTTCGCTTTGACTCAATTTCCTTCGGATCATCGAAATAGACTTTTCTTTCGGGATTCACATCGGTTACTTTGTCTACAAGGTCAATCCTCGTGACTCTTTTTTATATACCGAATACCCAATGCAATCTTTGATTCCGGCTTCGGAAATTGATATGATCAATATCAATTGTCGTAGATCAATAATCGTTTAAGTTCGTGAAGACCGACTCCGATTGTTGTTTCAATAACTACTAATTCCGATCTCAATTCCCTCTTAGCAAGACAATCTTGCCAAGTGTGTTCCCCAGAAGTCGAATGTGCTTTCAATAAGCCGATCCTTCCTCCCACACACATTTAATCGCAACAACATCTTGACCAAAGATAATCTTTGATTTTGAAAACTATTTTGATTTTGAAAATAATTGCATAGATTGAGAGAGATATTCCAAAGTTATTAAAGTGCTTTTCAATTCTCATTTTGGAATTGAGTCATCACTTTAGCCCTTGGCTTGAAAGAAAATTAAAGAAAAAAAGAATTTTTATTAAACTAAAGAAAGAAAGAAATGATTATTCCATTAGGCTTACCCTAAGGGGAATTTATATCCTTCTAAAGACATTAAAAATATGATGAAAAATAAAAGATAATTATTTAAATTTAAATCCTAAAAATAAAAAGATAAATACTAAAAACTTGAATTTTTAATTTGATTCAAATGCTCCAGCTGTCAATCCATCTTTTAGAAGCTGCTGCTTGGGCCTTCTAGAAGCTGTTGACTAGGCACCATGTCACCTGCCACGTCAGATGCCATGTTATTACCACGTCAGATGCCATGTTATTGCCACGTCAGCTGCCACATCATCGCCACGTTAGTTGCCACGCCAGCGATGACTAGATGTCATGTCGGGCGTGTCATGTCCCAGGCGATTTTCCTGATATATCACCGTTGAACAGTATATTTCCCGATCAGGCACCGTTCAGACTATATTTCCCGATCTAACACCCTTTGCAGAAAGACGCGACCCCTGCAACGCGCTTTACGCTGATTTGGCACCACATGGGGTAAGGCGCCCCCTGCAGCGCGCCTTATGCTGACATGATATACACGTGTATAAAGCGCGGCCCCAGGGGCACGCCTTAGGCCACCTATGAGTATAGCGTAGGGCAGGAGCCGCGCCTTAGCTTTATCTGATATAATTATGTAAGGCGCGGTGCAGGTACCACGTCTTGTAGCTTTTCCCGGCTATAAATACCCTTTCCCCGGGGTAACTCCTCACATCTCCTCTCGATTAGAAAAAAATTAATACAATAATCCAATAATCTTCTCATATTTAATTCAGAAGTTCGTGCGAGTTTTCATTATAAGGTAATTTTGTGATAAATTTTTTTATTATACTTATTGTTTATTATGATTATTTGAAAAATATCATACTAATTGCTGTCAATTAATTTCTGTGTTTGTAAAATTAGAAAGCGGGAATATACATCGAAATAGTTTTGTGGTACATGTAATAATATAAAATTATATTATTTAAATTATTTAGGTTTATGTGTAAAAATTTTATAGTGTTATATTTTTGTTCATATATTATTTATTTAATCAGCATTGTTTCAGTTGTTTTTTTTACAGATATAATATTGCCGCACTTTTAAACTCAAAGAATGGCGCGACTTTCAACTATTGTTTATTACGATGGAGAAATTCGAGAGGATGAAACCGGCGTTGTTTTCGTATCAAATGAGCATGTTAAAATATCATTGAAGAGAAACATAACTCTTGAGGAGCTGATAACAAAGATTTCGAGGAAGATTCATGTTGGAAGTAGTAGAAGAATGTCGTCGTTGCAGTACAGATTTCCAGCATCATTGTTGCCATTAACTTATACAACGTTCGAACTTTTGAACAATGATGATGTTGAAATGATGGTTGAAGCTCAAAGTAATTATTCAGACGTCGATATTGAGATGTATGTAAATTTTATTTAAGTGCGTGCTGTTCGGGGTCAATCATTAAGCTCCCACTATGGGCTGGCTGAACAAGTTGATCAAGTTGGCAGCCCGATGAAAGTAATGTGTAATGATTTTAATGCTATAATGGGGAGACATTCATCTGCAACTCTTTACGATATGTACCGAGGTGGGTCGATGAACAATCCATATGGCAACATCGCGTCCAGTTCAAGGGGAATGCATTTATCTGCAAATCCCTTTGACCTTAATATGGAGATGCCATCGACGCAATAATCTGTGCAGTTTTCATTTGACACGATGGATTCTAGCTCAACGGGGAGGCATTCGACTACGAGCTTTTTCGATCTGAATGTCGATATGCCTTCCAATTCAAGGGGAAGACGTACAAGTAGTAGGTTCTTCGACCTAAATGTGGAGATCATAGAGGAACCATCATCTCCATCAGAAGAACCACTTCGTGAGTCTGGTGCAGATGATGCTGAGACTAGACGATTCATTCACCCAGAATCACCGCAATTCAACTCCGATGATGATGATGATGTGGATAAAGTTCCAACAAATGTGGCACAAACTG